AGTTTCTAAAAGAACCAGTTTATCTAATGCGTATTTTTGGATATCGAGTTTTTACGAAATATAAAAGTTATGGCAAAAAATGTCTTGAGGGGTGGTTATTTCAACCCTTTTCGAGGGGTTAAAATTTTCGAAAAATACTTGAAAACTCGCATCTGTATTAGTAAACAACCTGTAAAAAATTTGTTACATATTTGTACCTCGTTCGTTCGTTTTCAAATTACAGCCAAATTTCATAATTTTTTTGGAAACTTTGATGGCCCATATCTCTTCAGGGGTGAACATTTTACTAAAGCGATTTTTTGCAGATCGTGTTCTTTTGAAATGTAGATTCACTGATATTATTTATGCTGCTCCATTCAAAAACACCCTGTATATCCATATCTTGCAATTTAGGCTTAAAGATCTCCAAAGACGAATGGTCCGATGATGCCTATAGGCACAAATGGCGCAAAATTCAAATCTTGCGTGAATTTTGGGACACCCGGTATATACTGTAAACGTCACAAACATATTTTTAAACTAAGAATTCACGGTTTCATGTACAAATCTTTCTGTAACTTGAAAAAGTGGCCTAAATGCAACCTTTTGGCTATTTCTTTTGCAAAAAAAGTGACAAAAAGTGATCTAAATAATTTCGCTGGAAGTTCTGTTAATAAAATCGCAAATAAGTGGAAGTAATGATTTTCAAAAACGGAAAAGTATAGGGTTATGTTCACAGTCTGATGGCGGACACTTCGAAACCAAGGCTAACCTTCCAAGACTTGCAGGCTAGAACACTGTTAAACTAAATATTTTTTTACGTTTATTTGTTGTTATGTTAGTGTATGTATCAACCATCTTCACAATTAATTACATTTTGTGAGAACTTTCTAATATTTTTTAACTGCATTTTCTGATCTAAAATAAAAAGAAAGTGGATGTTAATTATTATTGAAATAAATTCAAACATTAAAATTTTGCCCTAGAGCATTTCTTATAAGCAAATGTGTTATTTTAACCACCCTGTATGTATACATGGTGTTCCACCTAAGAGGGATCCTTCTGTACCTCTGTAACTGTCAAATTTATAAAAAAAATTAAATAAAAGTTGTCTTGATGGTGCTCCACCTCACAATACCGCTTACGGTTTAGACGCTATCTAGCCACATTTAGAGAGTTGAAATCGTGATTTTTTTCAAAAACAACAATATCTCGAAAACGGTAAGTTTTAAACACAGAGTGTCTACTAAATTTTTATTTTCGGATTCAAGGAGTTTTCAAGGTGTTCAAGGGTTGATTTTAATTCATTTTCAAGGAGGTAAATTTTTCTAGGGCAAACACTTTTCTCTTTGTCGAAGCTAATCGACGTTAATTTACTCGAAATTTTTCATTTTCTTTACTCAAAATATAGTTATTAACTTGAAGATGAAAAAAAATAAATAAATAAATAAATAAACATCTATCTGACCATCTCGCTGATTCTCTTTAAAAATTTAAATTCGAACGCATACGGGCGATTATTAAGTATCGCATTAAGATAGAATAAGATTGTAAAACTTTATAATTCTAAAGATAAAATATATAACTGAAAAATTGACAATTTAAACGTGATGATATGGGATATTTAAGTAAAATTGATCATCATAAATTTTACACTTACAACATACATTGAAATTATATTATATTGAAGGAATTTAATTATATTTATTAAACAAAAATAACAATACAATATCTGAAATAAAAATTTTATTACAATAATCGTTACAAAATTATATTAAATTGGTTTTGAGAACTATAAAAATTAAACAAAATTAAAATATTTCAGTAATTTATAAAATAAGAAGCATATTTTAAATTGTTTATCCAACTCTTTAATTTTTTGGTCATATTGTACCACATTTTTCTAATTTTCACTTATTGTCATTTCTAATTCTTTTTTTCTCAATTTAATTCTAAAATAGATTTTCAACTAGAAATTCTTTGTTGAAAGAAAAACTGCGTTCTACACCAGCATTTCCATGAAAAAATACTAATATTCGTTTTACAAATTCGACAAAATTCGCAGATATTCTTTGCTCAACACACAGTTTCATAAAAAAATTCATCTAGCTGATGATTTTTCTCATCAAACTTTAATAATTCTTTTTTTACAGCGTCATTTTCTACAAATTTAAGGTAATCCTTTCCAATTTCTTCAGCAATAAGTTCACCAAAGTGACTTAAACTTCTAAAGCCAGTTGAATCCGAATTTTAGCAATTTTCGGATTCAACATAACATAAGGGGAAAGAGAACTTGCTCCTCTTACGAATTTATAAGCTAAAGGACATTTGTCTTTCAATTTTTTACAAATACACAATATTATGTCACGGCAATCCATTTTAAATCTCATTATGTCAATTTGTAATTAAATAAAATGATTGCGAAAAATTTTTTCAAGGATCATTAGTTCGATTCAAGGAGGTTTCAAGTATTTCAAGTAGATTAAATCCATTCAAGGGGTTTTCAAGGGATTCAAGGAGCAGTAGACACGCTGTAAACACCATGTACATTTAATAAACTCTACCAAGGAATATTCAAAAACGCAGTAATATACAGGGTGTTCCATTTAAAATAACAAAGTTGTATATTTTCTTTACATGGCTCACACGATTTCAGGCAACTTTTATTAAAACCATTTTTTTAATAAAATTTACAGTTGCAGAGTTAGAGGAGGATCCCTCTTAGGTGGACCACCCTGTATGTCGATGAGCGCAGTACTCTATCTCTCCATATCTCCTTCAGTGTTGACAAGGGCCCTTGGGACCTCGGTTTGTTTATGATAAAGTATTCTGTCCAAATAAATAACGACAGAACTGCAAGCAGCGGTAGCGGAGAGATTTCAAAGGTCATCGGCTCACTAGATGTAGTTTATGACCTATAAATATTCTATCGGAATTCTTAACTGCATATTAGTCTACAGCGGCGTTGTAATGTTCTTGTTAATTATTCTATGTACGTGTCGGTTAGAAGAAATCCAATCGGCGTCGTTCTATCGCGACAACAACAAAAGAAACCTTACGCGTCGAGTTGGCTTTGGATTTTTCAATTTTCGAAAGTTTCTAGTTAATACCGTCAAACGAAGACATTGTGTGAAATGCAGAGGAAGCAATTAGTTTGTTGTCGCGATAATTGTACCCCATAACCTCGCTTCCGTTCAATTTTTGTACACTTTTATAAATAAACGGTATTATTAATCACATGTCGTACCATAAAGATAAGTGTGACGAGGAGTTCCTAGCAACGCCGCTCGTCTTCCTGGTGCGACGCACACGGTGGTCGGACAATGACAATAACAACTTTTTCCCAGTAAATTTGACAGGCTGAAGCTCTTCAACTCGTTATATAAATGTATTCCAAGAAAGTTACTATACAATCCGTCACTGGAAAATGTAGAATTTATATAACATTAATAATTGAATAAATTGTTTGCAGAAGTGGTGTAAAAAAAGTATAATTTGCAGTTCCTCTTCCGCACAAATCAGTGATTTGTGCATTAAATATTAAAATTAAAGCATCAAGGGATATTTTTCTGTGTGTATTATTTTACTAACGGCCGTCTTAAAACAATCA